CTGAAGATCAGCGCTCCCCCAAGCCCTGCACACCCAGACAATTCCATTTTAGGTGTTTGTTGTGACTTTGGCCTTGGAAAGTGTTGTATGCCACCACCGTTGGCAATCCTGAATCTGTGGGCTTATGACTTTTTTTTTTTTTTTTTTTTTTTTTTTTGGCTTAGGTCAGTTACCAGCCTTTATCTCTTAAAATACAATTTCTCTTCTAATACTTTCTCCTCCCATATTATTGCTCATTTAATATACAGACCTAGTCACTATAACCAAGAGTCTCCTATGTTCTCTGTACTTTCTACTTAAAAAAAAATTAAACTCTTATCTACAGTAGTGTCCTTCCTGCAAGATATGTTAGGGCAATAGTGGCACAAAGCTTGGGGGAGTGACCAACCAATAACTGTTTTGACTCAAGGCTCACTCCAAATGGAACCCACAACCAGTGCTATTTGAGCACCCAAGAACCTGCAACTAGATAGCCCATGGGCCTTGGGTAAAAACAAATGATTTTAAAACAAGAAAAAAAAATGTAGTGACAAAATGAATCCTACTGATACTCTGCTATACTCATAGACCAGTGCCTGGTTCTGACATCTTCAGAGAAGCTTCATCCTGTAGAAGATGGGAACAAATACAGAGACTCACATCCAGAATCACACAGAGAGTGAGGCACCTTGGAAACTGAATCCTAAATGGGTCCCTCAGAGTTCCTGAACCACTAAGAAGAGGCGGCAGAAAGAGTATAAGAACCAGAGGGAATGGAGGACACCAAGGAACAAAAGGCCTTCTAAATCACCATGAGCAAAGCTCATACGAACTCACATAGTCTAAAGCAGCACAAGGGCCAGCATGAGTCTGCGCCAGGCCTTTTCTCAGGCCGGGGCTGCTCTGAGGCGTTGTTGGATGTATTGCTTGACCTCTTTCTACCACATACAGCCTTATCTGTGGCATACAGCAACACTGATGCCTTTGAGAAGGCAAAAGTCCCAAAGGTAAAAGTGGGGCAAAACAGAATATTTCCCTAAGTTGTCCCGGATGTTCCCTTTGACCAAAATTTGGTGTCTCTAGCTACCAGATGCTGCTAAAAACTCGACACAGTTTCTACTTCTCAGTCGCCAGGCTTTGCCATGCTTCTCAGCCTCTGTATTGGTACCAAATACTAACCTGCAAATGCCTGGAAGGAGAGAAAGGTACAACAGCAACAGTGAGTTTTTTTGCTTGGCATCCCCTCCTTCTAGACTCGGCTCCAAGCCTCATCACTCTGGCAGCCTGTCCACTCCTTATAGTTGCTTTTGAAGAACTCTGGGTTTTCCAAGGAATTTGATAGAAGAGTTGAACAGATACCATCTCAGGGTCTGAAGCAGAAGTCTCCAAACATCCTTATTCTGCACCCTGATTGACATGTGCATCTGGGACATCAAAGCTGTTGATTATTTACATTGAGTAATGCTTTATAGTTTTTGTTAAAAACCCTGTTTTGATTTATAGAAATATTTCAAAGGGATGTTGTCAAATATATTGGTCTTTTCCTTTAAGACCCTCAGTCACAACTTCCTACCCTTGACTTTGGTTTCTTTACATTTAAATTTAAGTTTAAAATTTATCTTAATTCTCTTTTATGGAGTATGTTAGAATCCTCTTTCCCCACAATTATTTAAAAATCATCTGAAAGATATTTCTTTCTTCCTTGCTGGCTTGAAAAATCTACTTTCTGCAGAATGGAAAGTGTGACATATAACCTGTTTGTTTCTGAACTTTCATTAGTCTGACTGTGATTAATCCTGCCATGTTTGTATTCCTGACTGAACTTCAGTAATTCATTCCACTATACATCAGTTCAATTAATTCCCCCTTTTGCTTATTTCATCTTGGATGGTCACATTAGGATGTCTTTGAGATGAGAGAAGTAGTGACAGCTTGGGCTAAGGTGGCAGCAATGGCAATACAGGACAAGGTCAGAGGAGTGGCCTTCAGGACTGTCACCTCTAGAGTTTGAGGGATTTTGAAGCTGTCAGAAATGTCTGTTCCCACATGCCTTTAAGCCTTCCAGTGTGGCACTCTTAAAAATGGGGGAGTTATTAAGTCTATGATTGAGAACCCAGGAAAAACAGAAATACAGGGTGGATCATTGTGTGAAAAGCAAATGAGGGACAAAATATGTCAGTATAAACATCTGATCATATAGTGGAATCTTCTAAATTTGGCTAGAAAGATGGAAATTTTAGTTGGCAGTTAAAGACATGAAGTGAAACATAGCACTGTTTACGTACCAAATAAAATTAACTGTGGTACCAACTCTAATAAATGTATGATTTTAAGGAGTCAGCCATTTGCACATTTTAAAGCCATGTGAAATATTCCACATGTCTATCCAGAGCTTAGACAGTCAAGTGAGAGGCCCAGGCTTAGGCACAAAGGACACAGAAGACAGATTTATCAAGCTTGGGAGATTCAGGAAACAAGATGTTTCAAGTGACTATGCAGATTTTCCCAGCAGAAAACATTTGATGCAATTTGCCATTAACCCTAGTTTTGCATAGGGTGAAGGTTGGCAAATTGCTACAAGGGCCAAGCCTGACTATGAAGCATAGAGAGAGTTTGGTAGGTGCTATCCCATGATCAGACAGTGGCCACATAATCTGATCTGTCGGGGAGGGAAAGCAACTTCAGCATGTTTCAAGTCTACTGACTTCAACCAATCTTAATTGATTTACTTTTTAAAAAAATGTAGATACTCTCACTTCAAAATGTGTGTGTAAGCTCTAAAATATAGTTTGAATTAAGTACAAAGAATATAAAGCATTAAAAAAAAAATAAGCTGACTCTGTTGACAGGTGAGCCATCCCGGAGATTGTGAGCACAGGAGATGTGGTCGCATATCTGCCTTAGACATGAGCAAGAGGGAGGTGCCCACCACCCCCTGTGGGAGAGCTGTCCCCGCGGTCATGAAAACCTGTGAGCTGGTGTGGAGAAGGTGGAGACTCTCCCTTTGCCTCTTAACCCTCACTGCCTGCTTTAGGCAAAAGAGTGGGTCCCTGGGTCATGAGAGTGGACGACTTGGTCCTGCCCCTCACCGGCTGCAGCACTTGGGAGAGCAGGCCCTGCACCTCACCTGGGCATCGCAGTAGAGCTGACCCTGTTGTCAAAGGGGGCAAAGGGTGAGGTGAAATGGCCCTGAGAAAATGAGCATGAGAAATCTGGTCCCACCCCTCATCTGCCGTACGGCGTGGGTGAGGGAAAGAAGCTGCATTTCACTGCATGTCTAGTCAGGTGGGAGAGCTGACACTGAGGTCCCAAGAACAAGAGAACTGGCCCCGCCAGCACTTGGCAGAGTGATCCCTGCATCCTGTCTGGGAAGCACAGTAGAGTTAGCTAGCCCTAATGGTGTAGGTGTGGGTGAGCCAACCCGAGGGTGTGAAAGCAGAACTGGCCCCACCGCATAGTGTGAGCGAGCCAGATGATGCAGGAGAGCTCACCCTGGTGTTGAGGATGAGGGAGGGCTGATGGGATGACCAACCCAGGAACCACGCAGACCCAGATCCAGGACTATGAGTTGGTACATCCTAACACGGACACCAGCTGGTCCTGAGGACACAAAGTTGCAGGATCTCCGTGACACAGGGCAACAGCAGGATATCCAAGAATTCCAGGGAGGGCACAGTATTGAGGGTGTAGCGGAAACCTGAGGCCTCGAGCCGGGTCACTGACTCATTGCAATGCACAGATGTATGAGCTAAAGTACACTGTGTGAATCACAGTGTCACACTACAGCTTCCACAATGAGGATTTTTTTTTTCTTTTAAATGTTACTTTGTTTTACCTTGGGGGGGGGGGGAGGTTGTAGAGGGCAGATGCAAAGGGATTGGGAAATAAGTGGGACTGAGGTTCATGATGTGAAAGACACCAAGGATCAACAAAAGTTAAAGTAGAAAAATAAAACCCACCACCACAACAAACCTGGGTGTGGTGACACATGCCTGTAATCCCAGCACATGGCACATGCATGTGATCCTAGCACATGACATATCTAAGCTCAGAGGCAGAGGATTGGCAGGAGTTTGAGTCCAGCCTGCTCTCCAGAATGAAATCTTGTTTTAAAAAATAAAAAATAAAAAACAAACAGGGAGATTGATTTTGATGCTTAAAGTCTAGTTTTCACAGGGTTTCTCATGTTTTCTTTGGCATTGGGCGTTTTCAACTTTACATTTTGAGCATGAGAGCAGAATTATAGAGTTGGGGGCTTGTCCAGTTTATTTATTTATGTTTTTTAAATCTAAGTTTAATCACCGAATGAGTCCTGAAAAGGAAATGTTAGCCTGTAAGTTCAAAGTAGTGCTCAACCCAGGAGTTGTGTTTCTAAGCATGGCTCTTAAATGTTTTCCTTCATAGTGGGGAGGCAGGGAAGTTTCCATCAACTTACCATATTAATTCCTGAGTCACTTTTCATATACCACCCTCCCCCACCCTCCTTTAAGGTTCAGCAAAAAAATTTTAATGTAGAAAGATAAAAGTGGTTTCCCACCCTCTTCTGAGTATCAGATTTCTCAAAACAGCTGACACAGGCCTCTTGTGTAATCAAGTTTAATATAAAAGCACCAAGAGTATGCAAATAAAACATCAGGTTGAACTCTAGATGCACAGAGGTAATGAAGTGATGCTGTGCCATTTTTAAGGTAACACATTGCTTCCACATTCTGGCCACGTGTGGTGGTCACGCCACAGGTGACCATTTCTTCACAATCTAGCCACTGCTGTGGATGCACAGGCACGAGAGCAATTTGCCAACCTCATTACTTTGTGGAGTGTCAGTTCAGACAAACACACCCCACCCCCACACCGTTCAACTTCAGTGTCAGAAGGAAATGAAGCCAACCACCAGGAGAATAGGAAGGGCTTTACCCACTCTGCCTCCCGCCCATTGTCTGTCTCGCTGCTGCTCTAGTTCTTCCTCGGTTTGGCTTCCTTGTGACCTCTCTGCTTCAGGGAGAAATTGCAGAGAACAGCCACTTTGAACAAGTACCACTCCACCTAGGGCTGGATATCCTGATTTGGTTCCTCGTTGACTTTCTGTCTGCCTCACGGAGGAATTATGAGTAAAGAAAGCAGCTGCAGACAACTGCTATCCAGAAGCCACAAGTTTTTGTAAGAATCACATCTGTACATCACCCAAGACAGAACAATGGCTTTATCGCTGGAAGAATTCGTCCATTCCCTTGACCTACGGACCCTCCCCAGGGTCGTAGAAATCCAGTCAGGCATCTACTTTGAAGGTAAGCATTTCTCTAATTCTTTAACTTGCTAGGAAGTTCTTATGAAGTCTCTTGGGAATTTGTGGGAGAGATTTCAGTAAAGAGTATGTGAAAGTTGTGTCTATAACCCCGTGTTGTGGTGCTTAGGCCAAACCTCATTGTGCCCACAGACACAAACCTGAGTTGTCTAAAGTAGAGCTCTGTGAGCAGGCACACACAATTGCAATGAACTACTCTATAGTGGAGGGCAAGCAGCTGGTGATGGAAGCAGCTGGTGATGGAGGACAGAACTAAGGCTCTAACAGGGATGAGGATGCGGAGCTATGTGAATTATGATCTTTTCCTTGGTAGGCATTCAATAAGTCAACACAAGTGACAAGCTACTTCTGCCTACTCTTTGAAAATATCTGTAGTTGGGTTAAAAATAAAAAGGAGAAGGTCATAAAATGGTGTTTAAGGATCAGTATAAAATGAACATTTTGTCAGATGTATCAGGCAATGGGAGCACATCTTTAATCCCAGCTCTTGGAAGGCAAAATCTCTGAGTTCAAGGTTAGCCTGGTCTACAGAATGAATTTCAGGATGTCCCTGGATTCCAAATTTTTGATTTTTCAATGTAGTGGAAATGCAGTCATTCTTTTTTCTCCTTTCTCCTTTCTCCCTTTCTCTCTCTCTCTCTCTCTCTCTCTCTCTCTCTCTCTCTCTCTCTCTCTCTCTCTTTCTCTCTCTCTCTCTCTCTCTCTCTCTCTCTTTCTTTCTCTCTCTCTCTTTCTTTCTTCTTTTCCTTCTTTCTTCAGTAGTCAATAAGTTACATGGGATACCAAACATTTGGTTATAAAATGGGCATTTTGTAGTGGTGGTGCATGTCTTTAATCCCAGCACTCAGGAGGCAGATGGATAAGTGAGGCCAGCCTGGTCTACAGAGCTAGTTCCAGTTCTGGGTTTCACAGAGAAGCCCTGTCTCAAACACACAAACAACAAGAAAGGTTTTGATTTATTCATTCACTGTAACAAGGCATGTTCTGCATAAGATTCAGATAGAACTGATTTGATTGATGTATGACCATGTGTTAGTTGTATTCAGTATATTTGGGAGTTTGCATGATTTTAGTTCCCAGTGGGCTTACCACAAGTTAGGGAGTAATTATGCAGTCCTACCTTATAAAAATTAAAAAAAGGTTGACACATGTATACCTCCACATCCCTGGAATGTATGAGTTTGTACTTGTTGTCCTCAGATTTTACTTGAGTTTTGTGAATTATTTGGGATATCACATCAGAACTTACACTTCTAAGGCAGCCATCAATTGCTTCTTGCTTTGTGGTTTTATGAAAGAAGTCTTTTTTTATATCTAGGAAGAATTTTTGCAATAGTCTCATAGTTTCAGATTTTATATTTGGTCTTTAGTTTATTTGCTGAATGCATTGCTAGATGTACAAGGACCCAGTTTTACTGTTTTGTGCAAATTAAGTCAGATTTCCCAGTACCATCTTGCTGCTTCCAAATAAGATAATATGGTCACATATGCATCATTTGTCTTGGAAATACCTCTTCTATTCTGTTAGTTGATGGGCTTTTCATTTTATTATTTGGAACCAATCATATGATCTTTTTTGAATGGAAGCTGTGAAATTTGTGTTAATTTAAATTCAGGGTACCTCTGACTCTCTTGGTTTCACTCCATGTTCCAAATTTGACTTAGCACTTTACAAAATTTTAAAGTCCATTTATAAAATAACAACTGTCTTTTAAGAAATCTAATGAAAAATATTATTAGATTGTCGTGATTTTATATATTAACTTGAAGAAATGGTCAGCTCACATTGTTTTTTTTTTTTTTTTAAGGAAACTTGTTCATAATGTTGTCGCCATTCTTTATGACTTTACTGCTGTGTTATCACTCAATTAAAATGAATTTCCACATAGTAAATACATCCATGGAACTGTCACCCAAGAAATAGAAAACCACAAGTATTCTGGAAGACTCATCTTGTATACTTTTCAATTGTTATGTACTTCCTTCCCCAAATTAACCAATGCTCCATGAGTATGTACTCTTTTGATTGGTGTATATGTATTGTAAAGTTAATCTATATTTTCTATACAATTTTCTTCTTCTTTCTTCTTCCTCCTTCTCCTCCTCCTCTTCTTTCTCTCACTCTGCCTTTCTCTTTTATCAGTACTGGGAATTGAAACTTGAGCATGCTAGGCCAGTGCGCTACCACTAAGCAATAGCCCCAACTTTCTGTTTTGATACAGGGTCTTGATAACTTCCACAGGCTGCCTTTGCACTCACTCTGTAGTTCTGCCATGTCTTCAGGTTGCAACTCCCCTGTTTTAGCCTACTGAGAATCTGGGCCATCAGTTCTGCTGCTGATTGGCATTAGGGTTACTTTAAAGTCAATGGTAGTGTTGTATCAAAACATTCTCTTAAACATCCATGTTCACACGGATATTAAGAATAAGGAAAATTGCTATGTCAGTTGGTGTGTATATTGTGCCTTGTGGGTTGTGAAAGGACATAAGAGGTTTTTCAGTTTATATTTCCATCAGACATCTCTGAAAGTTCCCAGTAACACACCTGATAACACTTCCTGTCATTGATCCTCTTGATTTTAGTCTTTCTTGTAGGAACCCTGCAGAGAGCCCAGGTTTTAGTTCACATCTTCCTTCTGTCTAATAAGATTGACAAAGTTTTCTTTTCTATTCTGTGATGTTTGCAGATTCTCTTTAGGACATGGTTCCTAGGTCTGGCTGATTTATATTAGGTTTTATAAATTTTTATTGATGACTTGATGATATATGGATACACACACACACACACACACACACACACACACACACACTAATCTTTTCTGTTGTAAATATTTTCTCCTCTATGAAGCTTACCATATAATTTTCTTAGGAGTACCTTTTTATGAGAGGAAGTTTTCAATTTTACTGTTAGAGTGCTCACTTTACAATTACATTTCTATTATGTGTTGTTAAGGAAATGTTTATCTAACATGAATTATAAAAATATTACGTTTGCGTTTTGAAATCCATTTACTTACTCTTTCCTTTGTATCTGTTCTCTGCCCAAAATCAATTATTTTATATATGGTGTGAAATGAGGGCCAAGATCGATAGAGAGCTAATTAGTACAGTTGACACTGAAAGAAAAAAAATAGAGAGCATCTTACCATGTGACCCTGACTGTCCAGGAATTCACTATAAGCCCCAAGCTGTCGTTGAACTCATAGAGATCCTCTATGTCTTGCTCTCAAATGCTAGGGCTGGGGGTGTCCCACTCCTGGCTGAAAATCTCTTTGCTAATGCCATATTGTGTCCCCCAGTCAGAAACACTGTGTTTCTAGTAGCTTCTGTGCTTCTCCGGTCACAGGATTCTTCATTACACAGTTTATCAGTCTTAATGCATGTGGATCTGTAGCATGACTGAACACTCATCTTACATGCTGTAGAGGAATGCGCTGCAGGGCTGTGGTTCTCAAACTTGATTGCACATTTGAAACATCTGACATGCTTTTAAGATTATCAGTGACTAGATGTCTCCTTACAAGTACATTTAATTATATAAGAGGTAATGTGTCACTGTTCCTAGACATCTCCCTGATGACTATAAAGACAAACTTGGTACTACTGCCTTGGAATAAGCTTTCCCGTGTGTTTTTTATTCCTCAGGTTGGGCTCTTTGAATTTTCATTTACATTTCAGAATTCACTTGTCAACCTTCACAGAAGTCCTATCTGAATTCTGATTAGCAGTGTATCACTTATAGAAAATTAACATAATTGAAAATTAAGTCTTCTGATCTGTGAACCAGATAAGCCTCTTATGTCTTTTCTTTTTGGTCAGCAGTGTTTGTATATTTTTGCTTGATATCGTCATTGTTTTTACATATTAATAAATGGTATTTTAAGCAACTGCAACAACTAATGTCTATAATCCCAACATTAGAGTGACTGAGGCTAAAGTTTGGAGGCCATCATAGGATGAATAGTTTCAGCCCAGCCTAAAAATGGGAAACTATCTTAAAAAAATAAAAATAAAAAAACCTATGCCAAAAAAACAACAAATAAACAAAAGTAAACAAGCTAGGAATCCTTCAACATTTTCATTTTTGTTCATTGTGTTTGCTGAGTTTTAAGAAAATATGTCTCTAATATATACATTTTAGATTATTGATTTGGGGGGTGGCACTCAAATTTGTAAGATCTGATTTCTCCTTGCCAGGACTGTACTTTCATCTTCCCATTGAAACACTGGTTACTGTTTCTAACATAAAATGAAGCAAGGTTAACAGTGAGAGCTCCCCCCCATCACATTTACAATCACAGAAAACCTCTGTAACTCACCATTAAGATTGTTCATTTTAGGTTACAGAATATTGTCCCCTTGTTAGTAGACTTTTAAAATAAAAATCTTGATTGTGTGTCTTATTAAATATCCCCCTTGTAGCTTTCATCATGATATGTAAGTTTATTTTTCTACCTTGATTTTTTTTTAATTTCAAGCAAGTATTTGCATATGCAGCAAAATCAAGTTAGTTAGGTATCAATGAATTGTTTTTTATATTTAAAACAATTTTGTATCACTTTTAGATAATATTATTGACTTAAACTTTTTATTTTTTGCCCAGTTGCCACCAGGATTCATATAAAATTGGGTTGAATATCAAACTTCATTTTGATTATTTGGAAACAGGGTCTTACTATGTTGTTCAGACATGAGCTGTCTGCCTTGGGCTCCCGAGCAGTGAGCTTGTAGGCCTGCACACTACATCTGGCAAAAGGACCACTTGTCTGAGTTTCTCATGTCATTTTTCTTTGTGGTTCTGAGATGTGAACCCATGGCCTCATTCATACTAATCAATTGCCCTCTCACTAAACATTTTCATTAGACACCTTTTCTTGTAAAGAGTTGGAGAAAACTTGATGCCATTTCTTCTATAACTATTTAGTAGAATTTCCAACAAAGCCGTTTTTGTTTTTTTTAACTTTTATTGATTCTTTGTGAATAT